TATGGAATGCTGATTTTTAAAAAAGTTTTTGGGGGGAAAAGGTTTAACAGATTTGCAACTTGATTGAAACAAAAAGAGAGTTTTAGTGTATGCAAATGAAGTCGGCATGAAATGAAAATTAGCCAAATTGATTTTCTAATTGCATGTAATTGATCACATTCTGAACAATTCATTCATGCATTCAGACTTCTCTGTGGTGATGTGTGCCAAACATTTTTCAATCATTTAGTCCTCTCAAACACATCGACTGCAAGCTCACATTCAGATCAGCCTTCAACCAATCAACAACAGATGGATAAAACCAAGACTCCTCCCTTCATTTTTTCTTTTCCGATAATCTGTTTCACTTGGATGTACGTCACAATATGGGGGAAAAATATATGTCGCTACTTCTGTTACATCGTGACTGCAATCTTACTAATGTTCACTTAAATAAATGCATAAATCTGAAAATTGAAAAATTCTCAGTGCACAGGTCTTAAGTCACAGACATTATTTCACATTGCCTGTCTAATGTCTGTCTCTTCATAGCAGCTTGACCTGCTGGCCAGCATCTGTTCAAGCCCTGTGAGGCTGGTGCTACCGAAACACTTATTAAAGTGGACATTAACAAGGCGGTGTACCAGCCAAACTCCTTGTAACTTGGACGAGCAAGGTGTCGAGATCATTAATTTTAACAAGGAGAGCCGATAATAATCTCATTGGAGCTCTTATTTTACTGACATCGCTCGCTTGGGCTAGCCCATATGACTGGGATACAAGGATAAATCCCTCAGCTTATCAAGGCAACACAGCTTGTACTCATTACGTATGAGTATTAGTTTAAGCTCTATTACAGAATGCAGAATCCCAAACTCCTGAAAGTGGCTGTCATTGGAATTTTAATTGACTAACATGAAGGAGGTTGTAATTTTTCCCCAACCCATCTATCTCCCCCCTCACCCCTCACCTTCCTCGTATCTCCCCTTTTGCTTCTATGGAACGATAAAATCGTCTGGATTTAAGTTATGGTAAGTTTTTGAAGTGCTACAGGCGCCTGTAAATTTGGCGGGCACCTTTGGGAGCCACTGCAGCGGAGCTGGCTGTGCCACTATTTCATAGCCTGGATGATTCATGGCTCTCCGTGTCGTTCCCACAGAGGCCCTGTAAATCTAAACTCATGCTGCCGTCATTGGGGAACAGGGGGCTGGCGAGCAGAGGCCCAAGGGCCACTTCACATGGACTAACGCTTTCAGTCATTTCCCTGCTCTTTACATTTCATCAAGGTGATCCAACCCCAACCAGACAGACTTCAGGCTTTGGTGGACTGTGACCCTAGAGCTGTCACACCGACTTCGCCCACGCACACGTCTGGCCTCAGTTCTCCCTGGCTTGCGGCAGCTGTCCTACACGCTCGTAAAAATCATATTCCTATTAAGTTATAAAAAGGTTTTGCAACAAATGCACCATTTCATAGGCTTGAAAGAGAGGGAAATGTCAGTGGGAGAGTAAAACTGAGTTATTGCTTCCAGTTTCCAACAACTGATAGAATATAAGAAAAGAAGAATAAGAAGAAAGACAATATAGGAGGATAAGACAAGAAAGCCCAGGAGGGGTGCGCGCGGTCTTTGTCCGTTTCTTACACAAGCTCCTGGACTCCTTGTTGTAGACACCTGTGCGCGTCTAATGTTTCAGCGAGTCTCTGAAAAACAAACGCACAGCTCCGATCTCTTAATCCGCGTGGCTTCGTGGAGCATGGTCACATGATACGGCTGGGCCGATGATGATGGTGGGCCACGGTGGTAGGGGTGCATGGGGGGGCGAGCTTAATCTTTTTTAATTCAAATCAAGGAGGTCCCTGGTGGGACACAGGGATGATACCCTATCCGCTGCAATCAGGCTGACCTCCACTTCGAGCGCGCTCTAAATGATTAATGGAGCTGCCTTCCCACTGGTTTCCACGGCAACCGGTAACCGGATAGCCCACAGGAATTCGGCTGCCCGCCCAAGTGAGCGCCAAGGGAGGACGCAGAGCGGGAGAGTGAGAGAGAGAAAGAGCAAGGGGAAAAAGAGAAATGAAGCAGTGGTGCAGTTTGTATAAGGGAAATGGATGGGGGTCGAGAAGGATAGTCCCAGATCCAGAAGAGAGAGAAAGCAGAGACTTCCGTGAAGATGTGGGGTGAAAGCATAACTTGTGAGAGAGAATGATGAATTTGGCGGTAACGCTAGTTGTTCACTATTCTAATGATCAGGCAATTGATTTAAAAGATCGCCATTCAAAGCGGCAACAACATCGGTCATCCACCATTATAATAAATACATTAATATGCACAGATATATCCAAGCTACAGTGGGTTTTTGCATTGTCAAGCTACTACTTGTCTTTAAGAGCAAGCAAACACAACACTGAGGCCTGAGGTATGTACGTACAACGGTACAAATCCCCATTGCTAGTAGTTATTTTGAACAGACAGTAGTGCAAATTTACAGTTTCACCTAGCAGTATTTAGTCTCCCCTGAGGTAGTTGGTAGAGTACAGTACGAGAACTTGTGTAAGGATTAGCTTTCTTTGCATGTGAGAGTTCATTAACATGCGGTGACAATGGTAAATACACAAAGTTCAATATTACACTTTCTCAAGAAATCACGGAAAGATGAGTGAGGAGAAGAAAAAGTGCCATCTATGGGTGCTTCTCATTTCTTATTTGTGCATCCTCGTTTCCTTTCCTCCCTTCCTTTCCTCGCGTCTCAGCTCCACCCCCTGTAGGACGCGAGGGAAGGCTGCAAGGAAAAAAAATGAGGACGGAGGAATTGAATGAAAGCTTTTTTATAGATTGGAATACTTGATCACTCGAACGTCACTTCACTGCGTCATCAGCAGTGCTCAAAGGATCTGCCCTTATGTTGTTAAAGTTTGTTTATTTAAGAAATTAATAATAAATAATAATAAAGCAAGATACCTTGTTGAAATATGTGAGTTGTGTGGTTTATGTAAACGACAAAAGTAAAGTATAAATTCAAATGATTGTGACAGATGTGAAGGGGGAGGAGAATTGATACGTGCGTCATGTTTAGTCGATAAAACTCTTCCGCAAAGGGTACACCTGTGTATCCTCACTCATAGCTCCTCTGGAAGCCTCCTCACTCCTCGATCCTCGCCTCCTCGCGGTGCAATTAGAGAATTGAGATGTCCTTCAAGATGGCTGAGCTCGATCGGTTTCCGGGTCATAGGATGGAGGATGGAGGAGCGAGGAGACGAGGAGGGATATTGAGAAGCACCCTGTATCTGAGTCTACTTCACCTTTCCATGAGGAGACAGCGAATGAAGCGGCACCTGAAGCTCCCCATTTCCAGGACAAGCATATTTCATCACTGGACAGTCTAAATGATTTTGTCTCATTATAACAGCGGAAACAACTTAAAATTTATTATGGTCATACAGATAAACATCATTCGAAACTGTAAAGGGTCTATTTTTTTTTTTTTTGTATACTCACAATAAAAATGAAACATTGTGCTTTTGTAAAAAAAAAAAAAAACAGAATGCCGCTTTCTGCCGTCATGGTTTCCTTTCTGTGGAGTTTGTGGAGTGTGTCACAAAAATGAATCAAAACTCAGCGTATAGGCTATTAGCAAGCTCTTGCTTGCCATCTGAACCTGTTGTGGTGGTTAGCAAACAGTGTTGCATTACTGGCACCCCCTTCTGGATTGGAGTGTGGATCCCCTGTGACTGACTGTACTCGTCGTCTGACTGTATCCACCGAACCATGACGTCCGTACCGTGACGGTTCAGGACAAATACATGTACTCTTACACCCCTAATATCTGTAATCTATACAGTACTTAAGTGCAAATCTAACGTTTAAAATGCATGTACATGTACACATACGTAGCATGTAGCTAACATTACAACTATTGACACAGCACCATGCTTAAAATACTGCCACTGTTACCTCAATGTCTGGCCATCCGACATTACACGTGGGCTTTGCAACTTTTAAAATAGCCCATTGTCCGTCCACCCAGAAGGTGATTGATGAAGGAATCAATGTTAACTTGATGGGACCTCTTGTGCTTAAGTGGCCTTAACTGGGTAAGAGGCTTCATGGGGATTGGTATCGATAGAATCTCAAGGTCTAAATTGATCTGTCCATCAGGTTCACAGCCAGATAGTGTCCCTGAGTAGATAGAAGACAACAATGATGGAACTTTACAAATCATGATATTGAATATGGTGGCAGAGGGCAGAATATCAGACAATTACGAACTATTTAACTTAATGCCTTAATAGGTAATGCGCAATTTAATGTCTGAAAGAAGGGTCGGCTACACATCAAGATAAACATTCTGATCTTATTGACCTTGTAACACAACACACATCCACTGAGCTCTCTCTTGGTCTCATCTTTTCTGTATGTGTGTGTTTGTGTGTGTATGTTTAGGAGTATTTGGTGTCAGGCCTATTGTTGTGGTCGATGGTAAAATCAGCTGCTAAGCTTTCACAGGAAACCACACAGACAGTAAGCGCTCCATACTGCCCAGTCTGTGTATTGAAATACCATCTCTGAGAGTGTGTTGTGGGGGTGTGTGTATGAGTGTGTATATTGGAAGACATTCACAGTATCACGAAAGGTATCTGTGTACATGGTGTTGCTTCTCCCGCAACATCCTGTCACTCATCGATACGGCCACAGTTTTGGATTGAATTTCTCCAAAGTTTTTGCCGCTGATGATGACACACACAGCTTTCCAAAACATATTTAAAATCCACAATATTTGCATCTACTCAGAATGGGTGTTAATCAGCAAGCTCCGTTTTATATTATATTATATCTCATTTAGGTTAGCTGGAAAATGTCATTTTGCAGCACTCCGCAAATTTTTTATGAAAAGGGTATTTTTAAGTTTTGCACGCGTGTCCCGTGTCTGTGTGTGTGTGTGTGTGTGTTGTATGCAGTGCTGACAGACTGATGCAGAGGGGGTATCACTGACAGACTGACAGGCCAGTAAACCCAATCTGACCTGTTCCTCCTTGCTCTGCTGTGGCCTCCGTCTCCCAGTCTCCCTCAGACTCCAGTTTCCTCTATTTCCTGCACAATCTCACAAGCCTTTATAGAGCTGCTGCTAGTCACTCACACAGGCAGCTTTAACCCATAGAGAGTATGGCAGTATTGACCTCACGCAGGTTCAGCTCTGTAGTCTTTGAGAACACAAGATGAATGTACTGGTCACAGTCTCTCATCAGTCTATACTGTGGGAATAATGACAGCTCATTAGACTGATGTGTTTACATGTCTTTTTCAACAGCACACTACAAATAGCTATTACTGAAAAATGTATAAAAAAAATATAAATATTTTAAAATATTTTTTATATATATTTAAATATTAATATATATAATTTAAATATTAAAAATAAAGTATATTACAAATGTAAGTGCAATACATAAAAAAACTTACACAAAAAGTTGATTAGTTACCAAAAAAAGTTAGATACAATTAGACTTATTCTTTGCTGTTACTATTATTATAAAATACTATTACTATTATTTAAAAAAATACTATTAATAAATCATCAAGCTATGAAACTACACATATGAAAGTATAGGCATTGTGCAATGACCAAAACATTTTAACTCTGCAAAGAAGCCAACCTTTGCCTTGCACACTCAATTTTATGAGGTGTAACCTGATATACTTAAAAATATATATTTTATATAAATTATTAATAATTGATAATAATAATAACAATGCAATTTATTTAAAATTATTTTATTATTAAACATTTATTATATATAAATGATATAAATGATATATATAAAAAGTCAGGTGTGTCCAGACTTTTGAATGGTATAGTATATGTTCATTTTCTTTTTATGGTTTTGGCATTTTTTTTGTGTTCTTTTGATAAAATATATACAACTGAACAACAACAGACTTTTGTCATTGGCAACATGGGGATTTACCTACAACTCGACACATGCAGGAAAATAACTGTATTTTTCTTTATGAATTAGCAGAATTCATTTTACTCTCTGTTCTGAAGTCCTGCCTGCACCATTTTGTTGAAATTATGGATAATGATCATGACCTGTCTCCGCAAGGCACAGTGTTTACTTTCATAAACAAGTTTATAAGATGAATTGAGGAATTCAAACTGTGTACACCAATGGGAGCAGAAATGTTTAGTCACAGTGGAACATCTGACACATGTGACTATACCGAAGGACTGAGGGCTGCTGGGTAAGAGACCGGACAAGCTTGTGTGGGTGGCTGGAAATACACCAATGGCAAACAGCAAACAACTAGAATCCATGAGCTGATGACAAAGTCTGACCTGAAATCCTCGCTCACTTGTGTCTTATAGCTATGTACATGTGTTATGGATGTCTGTAGACAAAACTTCATGAAACTTTTACAAACCACAGGAATTTGTGTATGAGGCAGATGTATTTTAAGACTTTTTCTGTACCTCAAGAGATGCTGTAACCAGTTGCTCCGGAAATCGTGTATAATCCCTTCATGGATGTCCAGGTTTGGGCTTAACAGGAAATATAAATATAAACAAATATGAAAACTTGTATATTGAGGTCACAAATCAGTTACTCTGTGTATTAGAAGAACATCCAGTAGTTCTCATCAGTCAACAGGCATATAAGAGTCAATGTGAGCAGTGTGAAAGGGGTTCAACAGTAGGTTTGCCTCCTTTGTCAGAGACCGAATGGGCCAGTCTAACTATGTTTCATGATTAATGAGAGAGGGAAATGGGGTCATGTTGTATTAAGAAAATGTGTGTTTAAACCCCAAACCGGCAAAGAGCTCTAGACTAATGCATCAGTTATCGACTGGACACCTGAGAGCGAGAGGCTGTTACACCAGTCCCTACGGCCTGCAGGCCCATCCATCCACACACAGCTCCCTTTCCCTTTCTGTCTCAGTCACCCTCTCACTTTCTTCCTATCGTCTTTTTTAAAAGCTTTTTTCAACTCTCACTTTCTTGCAATCTCTCTCTCCATCCAACATTTCCCTATTGTCCCTACTTTCTCTGCTCCTTTACACAATAGGCTCTGTGTCAGTGTGATTGCATGTTTATAGGGAAGCCATGACGGTTAACACTCAATCCTCTCTGAATCCCCTCCTCAGTGGATAGCAACTTGATCCTGATGACTTGTTGGGGATACAACGGCACGGCCTCGGGTCCCAACAGCCAAGATTACAGTTACACTTCTCTCTGCGTTTATTTTATTCTCCAATGCTATAGCAAATAACATGTGCAGATATTTTTGAAGTAAGGCTAGATTATTATAGAGTATTTTTGGTTAACATCCTGACCTGGGGCTTTTACAATTACATGTTTTTGTGCTTTTTAAGAGAGCAAGTTTGAAAACAAACATCACATAAATTTGTTTCAGATCTGTTTTTGGTTTTCTCAAGTGAACCATCATTTTGATGCAGAGAGTTCACGTTGCAAAGTTTAGTTGTAAACCAAATATGGAGGGTAGATAGCGACTAAACAAACAATGACTGATTCAGAGGAGCTTCTCATCCTCAGTGGAGGCCCAAACAAACGAAAGCATCACTGTCCTGTGCCGAGATACCCAACAGGCAGTGGAAAAACAAATAATAGAGAACCATAACATGAAAGTCGGTGCAATGGGTTGCTCCGAAATGAAAACCTGACATTTACAAAGACAGATTTCATCTGTCTTTTGATCAATATGACAATTACCATAATTTGGTTATGAAGAGTGCAAATTTCTGGTTTTGATATATAGTTTCCCTCCTCAACGGAAAATTCTGCTGTATGGAACAATCAGTATATTTATGCCATAATTAAGTCTGACTAGGACTTCATCAAAAAAGATGATGATGATGATGATAACTTGCAAAGGGAGTTTGAAAATCAGATTGTTTGTCTTAACTTTATCATTATTTCCTGTTTCTCATAAACAAAATGTTAAAAACTGTTGACCATAGGATGACTAGACCTGCTGGACTAGACTACATAAAACCATACTGTCATATTTTAAGGTCTTGTTTTGATTTGTTTTGTTTTTTCACAGCAAGGGAGCAGAAAGCAAAAGCCATTGTATGACATTATACATATACATTAAACCCAGGGTTTTTCAGATAGATAGATGATAGATAGATAGATGATAGATAGATGATAGATAGATGATAGATAAATGATAGATAAATGATAGATAGATAGATATATAGATAGATAGATAGATAGATAGATAGATAGATAGATAGATAGATAGATAGATAGATAGATATGTAAGTATAAGTAAAGTATAACATTTATACATTTATTAATCCCTCAGATAGGAACACAGGCTGAAGAACTGCTCTGAGGTGAGTCAACACTGAAGTATACAGTATCATATTGATTTGCTCATAGCTGTCTTGCTCTTAGACAGATGATCCTGTTTTATTGGATCATTTCCTCAAACTCTACATTAGGAGGCAGACAGGATCAAAAGCAAACACCAAGAAAGGTCACTCTAATGATTTCTTGTTTATTTATTTATTTTCATTAAAAAAGGGAACACAAAAAAGTAATGTTTAGCAATTAGACAAAACTATAACTTCTCATTATTCAGACCTTAGCTTTGTTGTAATTTTTTAAGTTTGTCTGTGCTGTATTATGACACAAACTACAAAACCCTCAAAATAAAGTCTAAGGCACATTATAGATCATTTAAAGAATCTCAGATAGAAGTACACATAGTGTGTGTGTGTACTTTTTGGGTTAAGTACCACTACCATTTGGGGTCAGTAACATTTATGATTCAGCAAAGGTTTAGTTAACCCAAAACTGAAAATTCTGTCATCAATTACTCACCCGTATGTCGTTCCAAACCAGTAAGACCTTTGTTCATCTTCGGAACACAGATTAAGATATTTTTAATGAAATCGGAGAGGTTTCATAGATCCAACGCAACTTACACATTCAAGGCCCAGAACGGTAGAAAATGCATCGTTAAAGTATTCCATGTGACTCCAGTGGTTTAACCTCAATTTTATGAAGCGACGCAAATGCTTTGTTTGCGAACACAATGTTTTTTGCACAAATAATGCACTCGCGTCGCTTCATAAAATTGAGGTTAAACCACTGGAGTCACATGGAATACTTTAACGATGCAATTCCTACCGTTCTGGGCCTGAATGTGTAAGTTGTGTTGGATCTCTGGAGGGACAGAAAGCTCTGGGATTTCATTAAAAAGATCTTCATTTGTGTTCCTAAGATGAACGAAGGTCTTGCGGATGTGGAACGACATGAGGGTGAGTAAATGATAGAACTTTTTAGAATGATAGAACTAACCCATTAGATAAATAAAAAAAAAGTATCAGTTTTCACAAAAAAATATTAAACTTTTTTTAATGGTATTTTGAGTGTATACATAAATATTTGTTTATGGAACAAGAAAAATGTTTGTTCACACTCTACATACTGCAATACACTTACTTTGGTTGAATGGCTCAGAAACCCATACACACACACTTCCCTCGCTGCCTATGGATCAGAGGTCAAGTGATTCATCACAACGTTTCCTGCAAAGAAAGTCACATAAAGGAGTCCTCTCAGGATTACGCTGGGCTGAAGATGTCTGCTTTGTTTATAACTGTTAAACCACAACATTACATTAAACTCTCTGTTTCCTGGATGTGTGAACTTATTGGCTATTCCATTTGAGTTATTCTGCTTTGGCCACCATGTTTTTTCTTCTTCTGTGCACTGGGTGCACAGGTCCTGCTGGTTACATTAACCGATGTTTGGACATCTGCTGGGGCTTGGCTCAAAGAGTGGGCCTGTCAACGTGGGCTTTAGAAAATCGAGAAATTGCACAAACACTGGGCTGTGCGGTAATAAAAACAAGCTCCCGCTTTCTGCATTAGTCTTACATTAGCCCGACTATCCGGCCTTTGTTGATGCATCGATGCTGTTAAAGATATCTTTGGTCAGATGCAGTGAAATTTTAAATGCCCTTTAGATGGAGCTGAGCAATGTGACTTTTTTCACTTCAACTTATTTTCTTGTCAAGCAGTGAAATTGTGGCCTGTGTTCTAATAAAATGAAGTTTGTATATATTTTATACAAAAGACGCTTAGCCTTACAGCTCTTAATAAAATGCATAAAAGCAAGGAGTGAAGTAGAAAAAATAATAAAGAGTGATGGGGCAATCTTAGCTGCTCTCAGTAGGGGAGTGCTATGGTAGGGCCCCGTTTATTTACTTTAAGATTCTGCTGAAAAGATACAGACTCATGTTTTGTCACATGTAAAATACGAGCCGCTTAACAATATTGTGAAATAGCATAAACAGCGAAATGACCCTTGGAGTAATAACCATCACTTATCATTGTGATGGCAGGCTGATGTTTTCTGATAAGATGTATTTTCTCCGTTTGAGGTCTTAATTTCAACCCTGCTTCATGCTAGACTTAAAGGAAAAGCTAAATTAGCAAACTAAATGGATAATTGCTTTAGAGGGAGATATGAATAAAGAGGAAGAAATCTGAGCCTTTGGGGGGTTTTATTGCTTCCCATGTCTTTCATGCGCTCTCAGCTTTTCCTCACCAACAATGGCAACCATTGATGCTTTAGAGTGATCTTTGGTCAACAGCGACATTTTTTTAACCAATTAGAAACAGGTTATTAACAGACTTTTGCAGACAGATCATTTGCAGCAATGTTTTGTTTAAAATTAAATATACAATTGAGATGGTTTGTATCTGGTAATAAAAACTTAGTAGAACCTTAATATCTTGATAAATTCACATTGCTTGGCAGGAATCACTAGTGAATAAATTTAGCAAGCATAAAAGTTGATATACTTTATAGCTAGATTTTAATTTACTGCTTTCTGTGATTTTTGATAGCTTCATTTTCTGCCTCATGTTAAATGCTTTATTTTGTCCAATAATTCATATTTTGACCTTTAAATACCAAAAACATACTAGCAAAATTATATCTTACGTCTTTACATAATAGGAAATAATCTGATATGACAGCAACACTGCAGAATTAAGAGGTTGCTTTGCTAAACAATAGATAATTAAACACCAGTATCTGACTTTATCATACTGTATGATTTATTGTGAGTTTCATCATCTAAATAATAATGAATGCCCTTCATCATGCCGGTTAAGCTGTTCCTCCAACCCAAAACAAACCTTATTGTCATTTATTCACCCTGCTGTTGGTTCAAATTACTTTCTTTCTGTGTGAAACATAAAATAATATATATATTTTTTAAAAACAGTCTCAGTGTTTTTTCATGTTGTTTGTTTGCTCTACATTCTTCAAAATATCTTCTTATGTGTTCTGCATAAGATATAAAGTCAAACAGATTTGGAACAGTATTAGAGTAAATTATGACAGAATTTTTCATTTGAGTGTGGACTATATCCTTTTAAGTCTTTAAGATTTAATTAGGATGTAATTGTACAAAAATGCTACAAAAAGCATAAACATCAGCATATTATAGTAAAAATGTTTATCTTAGAAATAGCTATCAAGAACTTTGGCGAAACTATAGTGGCAAACCTACACTATTTAATGACCAGTTCATTTTTTAAGATTCAAATTGGCACAGTTTTCCCATCTACATGCATTATGTCCCGTGAGCCTGATTCTGTTCGCTTACTCTCAGGCTAAGTAATTCAGAAGTTATACAAAGAGAAAGAAATGTGAAATGCAACAGCAGTGACAGGTAGAATAGAGTGTTGGTCTGCTGTGATTCTTTAGAGAAACGTTTACACGCTTAATTTAGTTTCATCAAAATATTGTTTGCATGTCTCTGTGGAACTGACAGCGGCAGTGTGCCGTTATTTGAGCCTGATCATTTGTCAGTGCCGTTGTGACAAGGGCACCACAAGACTCCACAGAAGGACATGGGCTACTGAGACCCAACTTTATATATCATCGGGTGTGAGACGTATCCGTCAGCATTTAAAGTGCCACAGATTTACTTCAGTGGTGCTCAATAAGTCTAGAAAAAAAAAAATCCGGTCAACAAGAGGGAAGAAAAGACTTTAGCTCAATCCAACACAGTGGATATTGGTCAACTAGCGCAGATTTTGAAGTTTAAGTTCATTGCAAAGAGATAATCTCACCCAATACTCCTGGAATCAGACACTATGTGCACTGACCCAGGGCGGAATTTCCCCAGGTTCCTCGATGAGGCCTCTAAAGCCCAGTGACAGTTTGTTGTTACCATATTGTGTAACCTAAAACCTCAAAGAGAGGTTTGTCACTCGCTCACCTTCCCCAGTTGTAAGCCGATAAGGACAGTAATTGACAGCTACACGGCTGGAGTGAATGACTTGAGCTCCCTCAGGCCAAGCATAGACTTGAACAGCTTCCCGACAGACACACGTTAACGTTTTCTTTTACACAAAAAAGACCTAAAAGTCTGTCATTGTTTTCTTACCCCCTCACATGGGAGAATATAATGTTTTGTACATTTACATTGGATGGCTAAATCATCACATTAAACCTGCCAGCATCTGAATTTTCCATACACTAGTAGTTCCAAACAGTACACTCGTCTTTCAGCAGTACCAAAGTATGAATATGCATTCAGATGCCCAGCTTCAACAGTCGAATATGAGAGCAACAGCGTAGCAGGTTCCCACTGCTAAAGGGGCTATACCTTGCAAACGCAGCACCTTTCTGCGCACAGCTCGATCAGATCCAGATGGTGTGGGTTATGACCTCCACGGGGCCAGGCTAGTTGATCTACTGTCACTCAGTCTCTCAGTGTTTGTGTGTGTGTATGTGTAAAAGAGAAGATGAGGATGATGTATGTCAGTGTAAAAGGAATCCACAGACTATAATTGCCACTCTCCTGATATTTGCCTTAATGACAGATCTGTCAGCTAATAATCATCGAGTTAATATGATACTGTAATGCCTGTCTGTGGTTTAGCGACATACATACAAGACAGTTTTGCTGTGTGTGATCACTGCAACACTTCGTACAGTTTGGGAAGATGCTAAATAAGAATAATATTGTTAGTCGCCTGGTAGCATTTCTGAATGTGAATCACAGGCAGCTTATGGTGACAAGCTGCCGCTGATGAATTATGTGTAAATGTAAAGTAGGTACAGAAAAACTGAGATGCACAGAGTGGGATGTATTTTAGGTAAGAAGGGAAAAGAGGCTGTGGTGAAGGCTTGTACCATTTCTCTCATTTTCTCCTTCCTCTCTCCTCTGCTTCTTTCTTGTTAGGTGATCGGGTTTCTCCTCTGGGCCATCAGCTGAATAGGTGGGGCTTGATCAATGGCAGGAAACTGAAGGATCAAATGGTAATATATCAGAATAAGACTGAGCCAAAGTCTGCACTCTCACACACACACACACACGTTGCGTTTTCATGTTTTATGGAGACTTTCCATAGACAGTGATTTTTATACTGTACAAACTGTATATTCTATCCCCTTAGACTAACCCTACCCGTCACAGACCCATACCCATTTTACATTTTCAAAAAAACATCACTTTAGCCTATATGATTCATAAGCTGTTTTCCTCACAGGGACCAAAAAATGTCCCCTAAAGGACAAGGATTTCGGATATTGCCATCTTTGTGCACACATTTTGTCCCTATAATATAGGATTTACCAAGCCACAAGCGCACACACACACACACACACATAGAGGATAGAGGCCAAACCTAGAGGCCAATGTGACCACAGAAACAGTAACCTGCACACTGACACAAGAGAGACAGTAGCCTTCATCCATCCTGTACATGACCATGGATACCACAAGCATCTCTCTCTCTCTCTCTCTCTCTCTCTCTCTCTCTCTCTCTCTCTCTCTCTCTCTCTCTCTCTCTCTCTCTCTCTCTCTCTCTCTCTCTCTCTCTCTCTCTCTCTCTCTCTCTCTCTCTCTCTCTCTCTCTCTCTCTCTCTCTCACTCTCACACACACACCCCCTCTACACCTGCTCACAAACACCTTTAGTTACAAACCATTGCCGCCTGCAGCAATGCAAATTATCATCATGAATTGTGTTTTTGATAATATTGTTTAATTGTATTGTATGCAATGAGTGTTTATATGTATTCATTCGTTTTAATTATTTCTCAAAGCTACCCTGAGGATGTGTGTGATGCCTGCAGGGAATTTGCATAAAATTCAAATAAGAAATATTTGTAACTCTGTACCACAGCAATAAAACCAGATTATATCGGTCTCAGCAAAGGACTTAATGCATGACTAATTATCTCCTGGTTTACTCTAATTTAGAGGTTTAGTGATTTGAGGATGATTAATTAAATCAAACTTTTGCACACACACATACACACCTCAAAATTAATAATTGTGTTATTCCAATCTTTTCAATGTAGCCTAATTATATATTTTTGCTGGTTTTGTTTCAATTTATTTTAAAGAATCAGGCATATTATTTTATATTATAAGCAAATACTTTCTTGCTCTGTGTCATAGTCTGTTTGGTCATGAAAAAAAAAATTAAGTTCCAGCTAATGCTGCAGTTGTGGAGTCATTAATCAAATGATTTGACAACAATCATTAAAGCTGCGCTCTGGAAAGCGTCTGACTGAATGAGTGAGTTTAGCAGGTTTTAGATATTAACAGCCGATCCTCAAATAAAGTGGATTTCTTATATTTGCTACATCGATTTCGCCTAGTTTATCTTTCAAGAATCGTGAATTAGGCTACACGTGCAATGTTTAGGCTAGCGTGGATCCTTATTTCGGTATAAGCGGATGTTAAATTGTAAAATAAGCTAAAGCTAAACGCATTACTCTCAGTGATTGTTTTCATCAGGACAGTTAAAGCGGGCCATTTAGAGATAACTTAAGATAAAGCGTTTATACTCTACCTGTGAGCGGTGTGATAGCATACGAAGCCCATTTGTGTTCAGTCTCTGCAATATCTATTGGGCAGATGCTACTGCGATGCAACCGTACACCGGCTTTTAGCCCAAGTGGACACATTATGCCCTCAGTTTAGCGTGCTGTCGGAGGAGCTTCAACTAGTGATTGAGTGTAAACGGCGCCCGCAATCCCGTTGACTGTCCATAAATCAGAAACGACCATTTAAAATGCCCACATTTAAACCTGAGAGATCTGATAGATAGAAAATGTTTCTAAAATTACGTTCAACCTACGTAAACAAAAATGCAATAATAATAGTAACAATAGCCTTTAAAAAAATAGGCTAAATGTCGAATAGCCTAATAATTATATAGACATTATAATTAGCTATTATTTAAAATGATTGTTATTTAATTATTATTAGCCTACTAGGCCTATTATTAAACAATTTGCTTTTTTACCTTTTTTTTTTTCAGAGCATTTACCAGATTAAAACCATTTATTTTCAGTGTTTGTTTGTTGTCCTTTAAAGTGTGCATTGTATTCCCAAATGCGCCTATTTTCATCACCAAAAAATCGTAATAAACACTGCTGCGTTTCGTTTCTTATTGCGTCTGACAGCTTCAGTAAATTAGCTTTATTAATGTGCGTGTGTCAGACGACCGACGGTTTAACTTGAGCTTCCGAGAAGCGGATCTGTAGTACAGATATAATTGTTTGTTTAACTTGTCTCTGATGCATGGAGCCATATCAGCGTTCACTAATTAGGCTACAGTCCAGGTTTTGATTTGTGGCAATCAGGATTAGTTTCATCTCTTAAATCCAGGATCAAAATGAGCTAGTTCCGCCTTTTCCTGTGCTACAGCACCGTGTGTCAGGCCTGTGTGCTGCGCATTTCCTCCATTGAGGGCCGATTACTCCCCATATTGAATACGGAGTGGATCAGTCTGTTGGGATTACAGTCGGACACCCACATGGCCGGAGGGATTGTGTCTGTATTTATTTCATGCGGACTCGTTGCAGAGGTTTTATTTGCAGGGACATATACCACACGCAGATGCAGTTGCGAAAAATGTAGTAGGCTAGAATATTGTGGATTTTTTTCCCCGAACAAGATTAAGTTAGGCCTATATAAAACTCTCAATGCTGCATGCATGGAATATCTTATCAACAACTAATTATTAGCCCATTTTGCATGGAGAGCGGGGTTTAAGGGTGATGTTTCAATGTTTGGTGCTCTGTTTTTATGCGTCAAATTTGAAATGTAATTTTCCTATAGGCTATGCTTGTAACAAATTAAACTATAGGCCTATTTTAGAAATATACAGCTTATTTCTAAACTGTGTAAATTGGCATCAAGTAGCCTACTTAGAGTGCTGTGTTACAACCTACCGCACTGGGTTGTTAACACGAATTGGAAATGATAGACAAATACATTTGGTGCTTTCATTTATTGTGGTAATCACTAGTACTTTTTATGTCCTCCCCATCCCCATAAAGTAAATAAGTAAAATACAGGGAGTTCACCCAAAAATGACACTTCTGTCATGATTTACAACTTGTATAGTTTTCTTTCTTTTGTGGAACATAAAATATGTCTTTTCTTGACCTTAAAGTTAAAAAGTCAAAGGGGGTCTAATGCTGTTTTGGACATCACTGACTTTCATTGGACAAAAACAGCTGAATCGTTCTTCAAAATATCTTCTTTTGTGTTCCATATAGTAGAAAGACAGTCATTCAGGTTTGGAACAACACGAGGGTGAGTAAATGATACAAACTGAATTTTTGGTTCAACTATCCAAAATCAGCAAAAATGCAATAATAAAATACATGCAAATACATAAACAGGCTAACAACTCTAAAATATAGGCCTACTAACAGCCAATGTGTGTGTGTTTGTGTATCAGTCACTCTCACAGCTCTGTCAAATGTAGTTTATGCACAAACACATTTTGTGCAATCTCAGTGTGTCCAGTAAATTTACATAATGTTATAAACCCTCTCCGTCTGCTCAGCCACGATATTTCTAGTTTTTTTAACATTTAAATATAAAGGATGAGGTTATAATTGAACATCCATTAATAGGTCAAATCAAACTATAAGCAAGATATATATTTTTTGTACCTTGTTACGACACTCCCCGTTCTGCTCTAAATCTGTTACTGTAGATCTGTAAAACCAAAACGGTGTTTGGATATTTTCATATATAAAAATTCTGTCCCAATAAGAGAAGTGAAAATAAAACAAAACATTGGCTTGTGCAAATTAGTGTGAAGCACCTTGTACAAAGCACGTTCAGTGAGTTTATGATTATGATGATGATGATGGTAATGATGATGATGATTATGATGATTGGTTAATTGCAGTAGACTGTGCCTGTTGAAGGTGGCTGGATTTCTGTAAGGTCCACGTATCCCAGGCTGCAGCGAGAGTGGGCCGCAGCCGCGGGTGTAAGGCGTGTAATATATTTAACTACGGTAAAGTAGTGTTTTGAGAATTGGTAATTGTTCACATCCGTCTCTGGTCACGGGGACACTGTCCAGATCTCACCGTACACACACGTGTGGGGTTTCTGAGGTGCATGCTTACAGCTCTGCATGGCACACAGCCAAACGCGTCTCTCCAGCTTGTTTCCTGACATAAAATGTTGACTGCCTGATAAGAAAAACAGAAGCACAGAATAATAACGCAATCAAGACCCGGCTGATAGCTCAGTTATACTTTTAAGCAACCTCAGTGCTTTCATGTTCACAGCCGTCTCACCTTCTCCGGCCCAAGGCCCGAAGATTGGACCCAACTTCACACTAGCGCTCTTTGCATAAAAGAACCTGTCTACAGTCATAATATTTACTTTGATAATGTTTTCACGACATGGCAACTCTGAAGCGGGGATATATGAACTGTCTAAATATGACAGTCCATGCGATTTGGAATGTGCACTGAATAAGGCTCCTTTTACCCTCTCTCTAGAATTTGCTCTGAATAAACAAGAGACTCGGGTCAGGTCCTCCGATGTGTGATCTACTTTGTAGGCCGGTGGTTAAGCGTGACATGCTTGGCCCTTAAAATATACCCTTTTTGTTAGAGGGGAACGGACAGAAAAATATACAGAATTCTCTGTAATTATGTATAAAGGTTTATTTTACTTTGAAGAAATCGCAGCCGATGGCGGAGGACTGGATGTGCGCGGCCGTACGGGCTTCATGTTGTCTGGAGTAATCTAGCCTCGCGACTGGTTTGAATTTGCTGCCTCGCGACAGCAAAATTGTCGTAATCACAAAGTAAACAGATACTTCCTCTCCTATCAGAGCGAGTCGACAAAGTTAGTGAATGAGGGAACTTTCACTGTTAATTGTTGTTTTCCTTCGTACCCTGATTCAAAAACACAAGCATAATTATTTGTAAGTGCTACTTTGATTTTGTAATTTAGTTTGAAAGGGGCTTAAGGTGTTTCAGCAAATTATTCACTTAGGTTTAGTTGTTCTTGCATCTCTTCTTGGAAAGCAAGACTACGTCAAGATAATATATTCTGATGCTACAGGGCTGCTACTAGGTTGTTGAATTGTGGACCAAATCAGAAAACTAGGCTACACTTAAAAAAATGATTGTTGGTTTAACTTAAAGTTACCTGGTTGCTTTAAAAGTTTGAGTTCATTGAAATTAAAAATTCAAGTTAATATAACAAATGAGATTGGTTTAATAAATAGAAATTCAAAATATTCCACTTTAATGCACCATATTTACACTCACGCAGTTGAATGCAAACACAGACAAACACTTTCTCATCCCTTCTTTCCCCCATGCATGAACAGTGCATAAATATTATTTCTAAACAAAATAGATAAACATTGTAACTTTTCAACAACCACCCCCACCCCCCCCCCCCCTAATAAAAATATTAGATGACTCTTGTAAAACCAGTCTAAGCAAGCAGTTTATGCAACCAGCCACTGCTAGTGCATTCTCACAATGAATAAATAAATGAATAATAAAACAAAAAAAAACAAATGCATAACTTTCAGCGATCTACAGCGCATTTCTCATTGTGATCAAACTTCTTAAAAATCTAAAAGTCAGCTCAAAAACTTCAGTGACTGAACTATTATAAAAAACAAGTCTCAGCATCTGCAAAAACATGGTATAATCAGTTTGCTTCATTGTGAACATTGTCATCATGCAGCTGCGCATTGAAAATATATAAATAAATAAATGTGATATGATGAATGTCTGTCATAACTGAGCCACAAAACTTCATCATTCCCTGCAGCAGCACTGGAGATACTACACTTGTTGATACACATAGGACAAGGTCCGCTTTTATCATTTACAGTCGTGTACATACAGAAATTGCTCACATCATTTCAGAGTTATTAATTCCACCATATTTCACATTCCTAAATCCAACTGTTTTTTTTGCAACTAGAAACGGAAATATATGATTTAAACCATTAACAAGTACCTCAATGCGCACAGGCTGAAATCAGAGGCCTGTCATTATAATCACTATTTCCCCTAGTGCGCTGCCTGGCCAAGGAACCAGAGTCAGCCATATGAAATGGGCTTTATTTATATAACTTTGGGAAAACGGTAAATGCTTTTGTCAAATGTGTGTAAATAATCAAATCATTTAGCATAAACATATTTGTACAAATTTGAAAATAAAGTTTGCTTATTTTTCCCTGCATCCCCCCACCCCATCCCGTCTTTACATATCTCTTTTTTAATGCCTCTCTCTTTTCCTCTTTCTCTTTTTCCAGTCATAAAATGGTGCCAGGCTGCGACATGAAGGCAGGGGCCATGAAACCGTACCCTCATCATCAGACTGTACAGTAGAGAGACAGAGTCACACTCCCGGTGTAAGCAGGGCATAAAAACACTGCTGCATGATAAGGAGGTGCACAGGGACTTTGAACATTTTATTAGTATCTATAAAAGAGGCACAGGACGAAGGACACAGTGTCTATAAAGCACTAATGGAGGATCAATTAAGATGGTCAAGCTGCAGAAAGAGACTTTTACAGTGTAGGGTTTTAACACTAACCTTGTCCTTTAACACTAACGCTAAAACCACAAGGCTGGGAAATTGAGCAGTTGTAATTCAATTCCAATGCATCACCAATATCTTATGATCTGTAACAGTAAAAAAATATATATATAGTTGATAAGATATTTATAAAATATGGTATATTTGTTTGTATAAGAATATAAAAGCGAGCGGTGAAGGAGAATTCCTACAGAATAAAGATGACACAATATGCTGCTTTTACACACACACACACACACACGGTTGGGTTTCCATGTTTTATGGGGACTTTCCATAGACAATGGTCTTTTATACTGTACAAACTGTATACAGTATTCTATTCCCTAACTGTATACACCCTAACAGAAAACTTTCTGCATTTTTACAATGCAAATAAAAACTGTACATTTACTTTATACCTATGCCATTTTTATCCCTAAAATTATGTTTTGGGAGTTATGCTTTGTGTGTGTACACACACACACACACACACACACACACACACACACACACACACACACACACACACACACACACACACACACACACACACACACACACACACACACACACACACACACACACACACACACAGTTGTGTTCCACTGACATAATGATTTGTATGCCTATACAAACTGTATATTCTATCCTTAAACCTACCCATTAGATAAAACTTGCTGCATTTTTACATTTTCAAAAAACACCACAGTATGATTTATAAGCTGTTTTCCCCCATAATGTTGGGTTTACCTGGAAGACACACACACACACCTAGTGACATCAGCAACTAATGTACTATATTCTGAGTTTATGATATCCACTTATTACAGAGTAGCTTGCATCATATAAGAGTTAGTTTAGATTTAAACATTTACATTTTATTCAATAATAACAATTATTTAACATAAAAGTTATTTAATTTCCATTTTCAAATTAAATAAATTAAAATAATCAATGGAGTGTTTCTAAATGGCCAAAATCGCAGTAGGCTACATTGCTAAATAAACATTCACGTTTTCACTGAAAGATTCATTGCTTATATCACTCTTCTGTGTTTACTGAACAATACTATAACCTTCATGTGTAAGATCTGTATATTCAACCTCTATTTGAGCATATATATGTATATGTCCACTTTGACTTTAAATAATGATTCCATCATTTTAATTTTCCAAACACACACACTTCTGCTCAGATCTAATAAGTCCCGATTTATTCCTGCATCTTCCGTACCTTTCCTCTCTCTCTCTCTTTCTCTCTCTGTCAGGACATAGGGTGACAAATTGAATTACATTTTGAACACACGACTGGCCATCTATCAAAAACAAGTCAAAAATCTTCCTTGTGTATGTTTATGAAAGACATTTCTAAACTCTTACTGACCTGAAATGTTTATATCCAGAGTTTACGTTGTGAACATTTTAAATGTCATCAAAACCACCTTGCTCCAGGGGTATAAATTGATTCCATTTGTTGCCTGCCCAAGCAACTGGCCTCGGCCGCAGGAGCCATACGAGAGGAAAACCGAGAAGCTGGAGAAATCAGTTCTGAGAGGAGACACCGTGGACTTTCAGAGGGCTTTGTAATGAGTGTAAATCAGGGATGGGGTTCAGTGGGAAATCGCATGCCATGCCTCAATCAGCAACATCTCCCAACAACCAGGGAGGCATGTGTCAATCAAACAGATGTGGGTTTGTGGGGAACCAGTAAATCAGTAGTAAGGCTTTTAAGCCATCATTAAAGCAAAACTGAGAGATGCTCTGCTGCACTAATGTTGTATGTTAATATTGTATTGTCAATAATACCATAAGACCAGGGGCATCTTGCACTATTTGTTTTTGTTTGTTGGATGGGACACCAATGACAGTTTTGGCTCACTTAATGCATTAGACAAAATTATGATGGGTAAGAGGGGGGGAAAAAGTCTACATAGAACTTCTGCAGGGTAAAGTGCAAGAATAGTCTGATATCATTGTTGATGTGTATTAGATACAAACAAATAAACAATCCAAATTGCTTTGCCATTTTGTTAAGTCTGACGCTACAAAAGAGGGGACTGATAATGTCAGTATTTAAACAGCAAATTATATGCTTTAATATATACATGTATATAAACAGATTGTATATACAGTCGTCAGTGTGTGTTTGTGTGTGTACAGATTAAGCTATTGTGAGGGTCAAATGTCCTAAATTATTGTGAAATATTATGGTAACCGACTAGTGAACACATAAAAGGCTTATAAATCGACCAAAACATGTTTTTAATTAAATCTAGTGTTTTGCATGTTTCTGTGATGGGTAGGGGTTGGGTTACACGATATATCAGAAAAAATCATTAACCTGATATAAAATCAATTGACGTATACAATGTCCTCACTAATATAGTGATACAAATGTATGTGTGTGTGTGTGCACCTGTGCTTGTTTAATCTACACAGTGAGGACCAAATGTCCCCATAAAACAGTAAAACCTGAATTTTTATTGACATTTTGGAGCCATTTGGTAATGCCCCATGAGGAAAACAGCTTCTAGATAATACTAAATTATGTTTGTTTGTTTTTTTGAAAATGTAAAAATGCAGAAAGTTTTCTGTGATGGGTAGGGTTAGGGGATAGAATATACAGTTTGTACAGTATACAACCATCGTATCTAGGAAAGTCTACATAATGATATAAAAATAAAAATAAAACAATTATTTGTGTGTGTGTTCATGATTATATACATGTTTTAGCCTGAGTGAATTTATGTTACGCTGGATGCAGTCCTACACCAAGACATTGGACCAAAAAATAAATTGACACACACACACACACACACACACACACACACACACACACACACACACACACACACACACACACACACACACACACACACACAAAGACGCACACACACACAGACAGCTACACACACACACACACACACACACACACAAAAGACTTCAATCCCACCAATTGCACTAACTAGGCTACTCTTAAACCAAAGGGTCTTCCAGGACAGTTCTGAAGTTTATACATTTTACCCATATAGCACTAACAAAACTCAGAGCTCACCAGTGAGAGGATATGGCACGTTATCTGCACGTCTAAAACTCTCAATCAAAATGGTGTCAAACAATGTCTACAGGATATCACTGAGAGTTTGTATACTATAAATGGATGAAATACTCTTTCAAATACAGCTGTCTTTTACAGCTGAAGCAGCGTTTGACAGTCTAAATACTTAAATTTAAGCACATGAAAGTGTTTGAGTGTAAATGTGTGCACAATTTTACAACCATGCATTAAATGTGCGTATATATAATTTCTGAACCAGAAGGTGTTTTTTTCAATACACTTACAATGAAAGTGGTGTGTGCGAGTGTTCTGCAACGTCTATGTGTATCCACCCTCCACGCTTAGACAGAAAGCAGATGTCGGGAATGTGTTAAAGGACAGTCTTGTTGATAATCAACCTGCTATTAGTGAGGTATGTGGCAGTGGTGCTGCTGGGCTGTGAAGGATTGCATTACTCAATCTCTCCAGACGACAAGTGGCTGCTTTCCTCTTCGTGGAGCGCAGCACACATACAAATGAGTTCACACTATTTTGGAGCATCTCCCCCTAAACTCTAAATCTCTCTGGAGTGAGTTATAGTCAAGAAATGGCTCTCCATGTCCTCCTGTGGCTCAGGAGGTCCTGTTAACATGGGGTAAAGTAATGCAACCTTATTCGATTTCCACCATACGAGGGGGCGGAAGGAATCTTCATCATTTTTTGACCCACGGATGAGGTAATAGCTTTACTTGGTTTACAAGCTGGACTAGACTGGGGGTCTGAAAACGTGAAAGTTAAAAAGACACGGAAAGTGTTATGATAAAGTGGGATAGGGCGTAAAAGGGATAAGCGAATAATCAAGAGAGGGTGGGAGGAAGTCAATCAATGCTTTCCCTTCGTTTGACTCAGAGCTGTGGCCGAGCTCTTCTGAGACAGCTGCAACATTTCAGGGCTCCAACTCAGCAAATTTCCATCAGCTGCTGCTGCCAGAGACCACAAAACGCTTTCAAACAACGGCTCACTTCAAGAATTCTTGTCTCAGGGAGGAGAAAGACTGAGAGAAAAAAAAAAGATGGCTGGAGAAAAGTATCACAGTGTAGCTGAGTGAGCTCGGTGCATTAGGTTAGATTTATGCGAACTGTGCCCTGGCAGAGGAGTTTGATTGGCCTTCCATGGCGAAATTGCTTGCAGGTTTAGAAGACGATAGAGAATGTGTAAAAGTATGAAACGAAGACGGCGTGTTTCGTGTCCAACCCTTCAGCCTCTTCACCATACATTAACACTTGTCACAGATTCCCATTAGTCAAGTCACCTTTATTTACATTAGGGTCTAAAGCCAGTGGCGAATATTTAATTACCAAACCATTTATTTCATTGTTAGGAAAATAAACCAATGAAACCTCAGAATGCATTAGGCTGGCTGGTGGCCTCTCCTGTTTTCACCTTCTATGTTGATAACACCCAGTACAAATTGGCCCGGTCCACTGAAATAATGCTCCTTTTATACACCACAAGCCGGTCTGCTCTATTAAAACCAGCTGGCCGGCATAAGTCATTCTTTATTTAAGTTCAATTAAGAGAACAACTGATTTAATGAAGGAAGCTATTTATACACAAGGGTAACTCATCCGTGCCGTCCATCGGCTGAGCGCCTCACAGGCCAAGGGGAGACCGGTCTCAATAAACTAGACCATTGACACGGGGTGCTTGTAAAAACAAGTGGGCCCAATCCATTCGTGACCGAACGCAAGCGACTACAGGCCGCCTTTGTCACAGACAGTCTGGCAAAAGGGGGTTTTGGTTTAGAGAGAGGAGAAAACGGGCTTTAAGAAGAGATTGGATTTGCTGTTTGCTGATTAGAGGGAAGTATATGGAAATCATTTGATCTTAAAGGTAGAGTTGGCAATTTCGGAGAGACTGCCAATTGTAAGCTAGCTTTAAAAGCACAAGATCCCACCCTCCCTTCAGAGCGTCTCCAAAGCAACGCCTCCTCTAAAACATGAACGTGCCACAGAGCAGAGTCTGCAAAGTGTCACGAGAGATAGCATTAAATTACCTCATGTCTCAAAGCACATAACAATAATAATAAATGTAAACAACTTAGTTGTACTCTAGTTCATCCTCATCATTATCATCATCATTTAAAAAAGAATACTTATTCCACGAAATAACTATTTTTGAAAGGTGTTATATAAATGAAATAAAATAAATAATAACAGTAATGTACGATGATTATTATAGATTTCATTATTATTATTAATATTAATGATAATAATAAATGGGGTCTTTTTGTATGATGAAAAAAAATAAAAAGCAAAAATACAGAGCACAAGAAACATGTTATGAAAAGAAAAAAAAATGATAGAAAAATAAAATAAAC